CCTCATTATCAAAGCACTCCTTGTTCGGCAAGCAACTGCATAGCCATCAAGGATGTGTTACAGTGAAATACGCAGATATTCCGGTATCCCAACCAGTTATTAATTAAATTATATCCAACGTAATCAGAAGCTATGTGCTGTGGCTACACCCCGGTTCCTCGCTACTCATTCTTGTTTCATTCTTTCCCTCATTCGCACTCGACTTTGCCCTGCTACCGGTTGCATAAGCAACAAACATTTCCTTTAGAAATGACAATTCTTTCTGAAGTCCTTCAACCTACAATAAGATCGTAACGTTGCAAAGATGACAAAAAAAAAAAAAAAAAAGAAAAAAGGAAAAAAAAGGAAGAAAAAAGAAAAATAACAACAGAAATTAGTTAACAAAGAAGATGGAACAAATTAAAATGTTCAATAAATTCATATAAATTCTGAAAAACTATGCAAAGATGAACAAACAAAAGTAGAAATAACAAAGTTATCTAATAGCAGGTTTTAAAATTACAATTTCGATAATACTTTCCTTACGTAAAATTCTGTCTTCTAAGTTAACTTTAATAACTAAAGTGATATGTTTTAAAAACAAATAGAAACCTTTTTCTCCAGTTCAACATTCTCCTTTCTTAAATGTTCCACACGTAGCATTGTATCTGTTTCCTCTAGTCGTTTCTTTTGACGAGTTCTACAAAACTACGACTGATTTCTTTCTTTTCTTTTTTTTTTTTTTCTGAAGCAAATCAGTAAATCACTATTATAATGTAGAATCTGTTGTTCCAAAAAAAAAAAAAAAAAAAATTCTGACTACTGTCAAATAATTCTCAAACAATGAAATTATAAAATAAATAAGGAACGGAATACATTGAGCATTGAAGATTTTCGAATTAAACCATACTGAAATTTCAATTGAAACCCAATTTTTTGGTTCTGTTAAGCTAACCTTCTGCTGAAAATAATAATCAACAATGTGAAAAAAATCTTTTAAATCTAATTTAATGAGCCTAAAAAAAGAGGAAAATAAACCTGTTTACAGCATCGTTATTTCGCTTCCTCTTCAAAATATATTCTTCATCATTCAATTTATCATTATCACATGCGACAACACGTTTCCGCGTGGCACCACATTGTGACACATCCGCTGGTACCATTCTATTTGAACACGAATACCACAATAATCTAATTACTGATCATATTACCTATCGTTAATTCAAGTAAAAAGTAAACAATCAAAAATGAACTGATCGTTCATCGTACATTACATGTGACACTATCGTACTGCATATAACTCATACGTGAACAAGTTTCTTCCATCACGTAACCATTCATTTATAACCAATGAAAGATTAGAAGCCGTCACGTGATCCGTCACGTGATTACCGTTATAAGCTAACGTTACGTTTGTCGCCATAAGTTAAAACCGAAAATTAGCAAAATGATGCTGAACCTACTTAATCTTTCACGATTACATCATCGATTTATCACGGCTAATGGCTGACGTTTTCGATGACGTACGTTGCAATTACGTATGACTTATATTAGATATGACTTTTCGTTAACTTATGAATCATATTCCTATAGTGCATCTAATCCTAAAAAAAAGATTAAGAATGGGTGAAGAGACTGTAGTATATGTGTGTAGCAGAGAGTGAAAGTAATATCTGAAAGTATGATGAGAAAATAGCAGAGAATACGATGATCTATAAAAGAACCGTTGTTAGAGATTGAAAAGATTTGTATGAGAGCAATAACAATATGATTATAATTGGAAATAACTTTGTAAAAATATCAAAATTTACTTGTATATTTTTTAGAGCAAATACTTTGATTAGTGTAAACAAATATTGATCAAACTGGAAACGATCAATAAATATGGCCAAGATTTCTGTGAGTTTCCACTTTTTTTTTTTTCTTTTTAAATTAGCAAAAGAAAATGAAATGGAAATGAATGAAATAAATGAGCACAGATGGATGATTATTCTTTATTTCGTCATATATTGAAATATTTATTTTTGAATATTTTGTTTGTTTATTTTTTATTTTTTATTTTTTTTTTCTTATTTATTTCTTTCTTATTTATTTTTTGTTTATTTTCAGCTAATTTGTATTTTTTAAAATTTGAAAATTGAAATTATAATTTGTAATATAAAATTTTAGATGAAAATTATTGAAAATTACACATTTTTTTCTTTTTTTTGAAAGAATGCAAAAGTTTTGATTTTTCTCAATAATTTTATAAATGATTAAGCATCAAAGACAAGTTTTAAAATTAAGTGAAATTTTAAAGATTAAAGAAAATCTATTGTTTATATTTTTAATAGAACGTTTAATGTTAACTTCTTTAAATACTTTCTAACAGACAACGGTTCATACTTACTGAAATAATCATACAGTGTTTTTTTGATTAGTTTCTAATTTTATTTGAAATTACACTAAAATTTCAGGAATGTAATAATATGAACGAGAAGAAGGAGGATGATGACATGTCACATTTCGTGCGTGAGTTAAAATTTGGCGAAAATAAATTAAAAATAAGACAACGATGCATTGGACATGTTAGTTGTGTCGTTTGGGATAGTGCTATTGTAGCTTGTCATTATTTTATTCGACATCAATCATTCTGGAAGAAAAAAAAGGTACTTTATACAATTTTAGCTCTGTTTATTTATGATTATTGTAAAAATTCTGATTATTGATATTGATATGGAAAGGAAGATTCGATTAAAAATTATAAGTCTGGCTAAAAAATATGTAGACGATAGAGAAGGCATTTAAATTTCACTGAGAAGATAAACTGATGCTTTGTTGGAATAAAAAGATCCTGAAGTTTTTTTAATTCCTGATGCTATAACATCAAAATCCTAGTTGGATTACTGTTGTAGTAATTATTCAGGTAGTCGTTTAATTTCAATTTTCACTGATATGATATCGATTTTCTAACTTTTATCGATGTGGGAGTAATCAATGGGATTGTAAATGGGAATTTCCAATGATATATTTTATCACCAGGTTCTAGAACTTGGTGCTGGAACAGGAGTGTGCAGTATTCTCTTAGCAGCATTAGGCGCAGATGTTGTGGCAACTGATTCATCAGAAGGAATTAATTTATTGGAACGAAATATCCAAGAAAATCAGGAAATGATAACAAGAAATGAAGGTTCTGTTAAAGCTGAAGTTTTGGATTGGAATAATCCATGCGATAAATCGCTATCATTCGACGTTATTCTAATGGTTGATGTTATTTACTACTTAGGGGTAAAGTCATTCTTTTTATCATTCTTGATTTAATTGGTATTTCTAAAAGTATGATCTGCTGGTATGAGTAGAACTGACTTTTAGCTGTAGATTCTTATGCTATTTCACTTATCAATCACTTACCATGTTTTTATCAAACTATGAGCAAGACGTGGAAAATCAAAAGTTACTCACTGAAAAGCATGATTGTTAACAGTTTTATATGCACCACAAAATCATGGTTAAAGCTTTGCATTCGGATTCAGGCATTAGAAGGACTTGTTAAACTAGTATTACGATCAGATGCGGCAATGATTATTTGTTGTTACGAAGTACGCGATATTGGAGAACCGAAGATTGCTCAAGAACGATTTTTTGAAATGATATCTCCTTTTTTTGGTATTTATCCAGTAGCAGATGAGCATTTAGATGATATATATAAATCACCAGATATCAAAGTGCTACGTTTAGTACGGAAGTGATTGCAATCATCCTTGATTTAATTATATTTGGAAACGGGCAGTTATATGTTTTTTTTTCAAGTGAGTGATTTTCAATTTTTTTTCAAGCTAAAAATATTATTTGCATGATTTTTATTTAAGAAATTAATCAGTTTGCAATGATTTTGCTTGATTAATTTTATCGGATTACTGAATCGTTTTTTTTTTCGTCTGTCGTTTGATAATTTTTTTCGCCAAGTTTCTTTTTGTTTACTGAGAATTTCAGTAAAGTTTATTTCAAATTTTTTCTGGTAACTTTAAATATTACACTTTCGTTCACCAGTTAAGAAAAGTTAATGACTGAATGAAAATTAAAAAAAAAAAAAAAAAAACTGGTGAAGAAATAGAAATCATTCGAAACCAATTAATTATATGCTATTGTTAACTGAAACAGAATTTGTATTGTTGTTTGTTGTGGAGAAAAAATCAAATTCAAAAACAAAGATTTAGAACTATCCGTATTTACTATCCCGTTATCGGTGATATATGTATTCAATCCGTTTTATATGTCGATAATATATTTGCAAAGGTGACGAATAATGCCACTGCAAAAAATGTGCGTGGAATTTATGTTTTACATATTTTTCCTTTGTCATTATTTGACTATTTTACAACTTCTTTGTATCGTATTTGTTATTTTTTTTTTTAATTTTAAACTAATATTTATGATTATCAAATTACTGAAATTTGTTAGGATATTCAGATGCATACTTTTGCCATCAGTGAAATCATAGTCAAAAAACGAATTAATTTTGAAGATTCAAATGAATTCATCTTACTTTTTGATCAAAAACAATCTTTGACATAATGACTGCTTTGAAAAATTTAATAAAGTTGATACTTAATATCTTGCATGAGAGTCTGTTGAAAATAATGCTATAAAATCATGGCAGTGTTGCACACTCATTGATTTCAGATTTTCGGATTTTGTTGATAGTAATGTTGATAATTTTCTTCTCTCTTTAATTAGTGGATAGAAATTTTTCACTCACATTTTGACAAATAATCTATTTAAATAATTTATACAAGTGTTTTTTACGGTAATTTCAATGAAGTAAATTATGGTCAGAGCGAAAATTTTTGATATTTATAGATTCATTTTTTTTTTTCAGAGATCATGTACGATCCATCATCCAGTGCTAATATCAATGAAGCGACAGTTGACCATTTTTCGTTGGATTGGACAATAGATTTTTTTAAATTTCAGATATCTGGAAGTGTTGTTTTATCGATACATATCATCAAACCAACTGATAAAATTGTAATAATTTTTCATTTTACAACATTCACTTTTAAACGATTTATAATTTCAATAAAATTTGTTTCCAATTCCATTCACGTCCATTTCCTCAAATTTTTCAAAAGTTTATATTCTTTGCTCAATAATTGATAGTAATAAGATGCTTAATGTCATGCTACATTTCGAATTTTCCTCATTTTTCATTTATTCTCATCGAAATGAGAGCAGGATTATCCGATTGCCCAGTTAGTATTTCAATTGATGATAGCATGATCATAATTACTTATACAGTTCTATAAAATGTTCCGAGAATGTAGGGATGAAATCACTCCTTTCTAACCCATTCATTGATTAGGTTTTGGGTGATCCAACTTTCATATTTTTTAAAATATTTCGGAAAGATTTATTTTATTTCTGACTACTTTCTAAAGTCCTTATCGGAATTCTGGAAATTACAGCAATCCTATACTTATAGGTATGGAAATAATAGAGAAAATAATAATTTTTGTTGATTTATACAAATTATTATGAACCAGTATAATCCTGAAAGCTTAATAGTGTTAAGTCTTGGTACATTTATATCTGAAACAAAATTTTTGCTGAATTTGAGAAAAAACACTTAAGACTATAGGATTTTTCCTACTTTGTTTTCCTATTTTCCTACCTTTCGATTTTTTAGTATTGCTACATTATTGGCATTGTTAATAGTACCGAAATTAATTCAATGACTAAATAATATTTCCAGATATTAGATAGTCAATCGTTGGAAGTAGCAAGTATTAAAGCGGATAATGAAATCGTCAACTACCGCGTGGAAAATGCTGGCATTTTAGGTGAAAAAATTATAATCGATGTGGGTAAACGAAAAGATGGAGACAAATTGTAAGTTTATCAAGTAATTAAATACTTATTGATTGCAGATTGTAATTATTTAATTGATTTCTTGCGGGCATGGTTAATTGGATTTTCAAAATTTTTTACCTATTTTTATCTCCTGAAAATACTATTAACATGTCGAAATATTCCATGGCAGTCATTATCAGTGAAACGCTTATGAGTTTAGGTAAAATTTCCTGAAAAAGATTTATTGAATCCTTGTGAATTTTAATTTATTCCGCGACTGGTGTAGTAAAAGCGAACTATTCTCGTTAATTCAGTATGAATTTATCCTTGCAAGTTATAAAGTAAAAATTTAAAACGACGAAGGGACTCAATCACGTCTCAATCGTCGATTGACAAAGCTCTTTGCTAATATTCTGAATTATTAAATAGTAAATTTGCCATTTTAATTTCAGTAATCTCAGCGTCATCTATAATACGGGTGAAAAATGCTCAGCGTTGCAGTTTTTGAAAGCCGAACAAACAGTCACAAAAGCGAAACCTTATTTATTCAGTCAATGCCAGCCCATACATGCTCGTTCAATAGTACCATGCATGGATACACCTTCCGTGAAACAGACCTACGATGCCATGGTAAGATTATTCGTTTTTTTTTTTTCCTTTGAACCATGTTACCGGATTTCGTTTTTTATTTTCAAGTTCAAGCACTCAGATTATTTTGAATTTTCGCTTTCCAGTATTAAGACCAGAATATCTTAATTTTAATCATATCAAACCTTGATATTAATCTCGATACGTCAAAATTGCATTTTTTTTTTTGCATTTACGGAAATTTGGCTTGTTTTTTTTTAATTTTCTGTATTTTTAAACTACTCAAATAATTTAGACGTCGTCTTCATTCTTAAATGACTTTTTTGCTCCCGTTTTTTATGCATAATGTTTACAGTAAGGCAAAAAAATATTTTTCTTTTCTTTTTTCAGGTAGCTGTCCCCAGTGATTTGATGTGTTTGATGAGTGCAGTTGCCATAGGCCAACCGCAAGAAGTTGGAAAATTAAAGAAGTATTCATTCAAGCAATCAATACGAATACCTTCCTATCTTTTGGCTATTGTTGTCGGATTAATGGAGAAACGAGATTTGAGCATACGCTGTGCAATTTGGGCTGAACCGACAGTAATCGATAAAGCGTTTTATGAATTTGGTGAAACGGAAAAAATCCTAAAAACTGCTGAAAATTTAATCGGAAAATATGAATGGGGAAGGTAAATGAAATGAGCCATGTTTATTACTTTATGGTTTTAATAGTTTATATATAGTCTTCGCTAAGTTATACCACTTACCTCTATTTTACCATTTCGTTCCTTTTGTTGGCTTATATACTGAAAATGATAAATTTTATTTGATTAACAAATTCACTTTAAATCCAATCATTCTTTCTCCGCTCATTTTGAGAAAATAGTAACTTCAGTTTGGTTCGACTGACTAAATGCATAAAATTACTGAAGGATCATAGTTGATAACAAATCCAGTATATTAGCAATATCAGGTATGATTTGGTTGTGCTTCCATCGTCATTTCCATTTGGTGGCATGGAGAATCCGTGTTTAACATTTGTAACACCGACATTATTAGCTGGTGATCGATCGGCAGCTTATGTGATAGCTCATGAAATTTCACACAGCTGGACAGGAAATTTAGTCAGCAACGCTAATTGGGAACACTTTTGGTAAGTGCTTATTGACGACAAAGTTATGCCTTTGATGAACGCTCAATTAGTATCATAGTTCATTGTGGATTTAGTTAAACTATTTTCACTTTCCAAGATATTAGTAGAAATTTATTTTCATACAGCACTGAGTAAAAAACCCAATGAATTAACCATTCACTAATGAATACTTGTTGGATAAGCAGATTAAGCTAAAATTTGATACGATGTTAATTGGAATATTTTGAACGGAAGATCTCGAAGGTAATACTTTTCAGTTCGTAATAGTTCTAAACGGATGAAAAACTTTCATTATTTTTATAGCATGACATTTACTCTTTTTCAGGCTAAACGAAGGCTTCACTACATTCTTGGAACGTAAAATAGTAGGAGAACTTGAAGGAGAAAAAGAACGACAGTTTCAGGCTCAATGTGGTTGGGAAGTAAATTTTTATTTTTATTTATAGGGTATATATTGATCATTCATCTGAGTCACTGACTGAAAATATAACAATTTCAGGAAGGTTTGGTGAGTGCTGTTAAAGAACAGTATTCCGATGACCATCCACTTACAAAATTAATACCGGATTTGCAAAATAGAGATCCCGATGATGCATATTCATTGATCCCGTACGAAAAGGTTTATTTTATTGATTTGAAATAGTCAAGTATGACTTATTGCTTCACATTTATCGAAAATGCAAAGTTAGATCATAGGAATGCATGAATTAAATTGCTTCGACTTTATTTTCCGGGCGTTCCGAATTATTTTTGATTTTTTTGTTTACTACTTCCAGGGATCGGCTCTTCTCATGGTTCTTGAACAAAAACTTGGTATAACTCAGTTCGGTGGATTCCTGAAGAAGTATATTGAGAAGTTTGCTCAGAAATCAATAGTAACTGATGATTGGAAAGCTTTCTTATATCAGTATTTCTTAGATAAGAAGAATATACTTGATGCTATTGATTGGGATAATTGTTTATATGATACAGGAATTCCCAAGATAAAACCGCTGTAAGTTAAAAAAGTTTACTATCTAGTTCTCTTGAAAAATTTTGAAAATTTAGTGCATAATAATTGATTTTTCAAAACTCGTTCCTTGAAGACTCAAACACCGTTTTTCTGCATGTAAGCCAAAATGCCATTTTTTGTCTCTTGCCTTGAAAATTTCCAAATAATGGAACTTATAAGCTTGAATAAATCTGTTCTGATCAAATAACCCGCAATAGAATCAAAAGATTGAAATCACACAATTTTTAAGCGTATATTCTCCTGTTATTTGAAAAATCTAATCCGTAAGAATTAATTCATATTAATGTCCTCAAAATTCAAGGGAATTACACTTTTGCTCATTTCTGAAAATTTTTTTCTTTACCTTACAGATTTGATAATACAGCTATGCGTGAAGTCGTCGCATTGGCAGAGGAATGGGCGAAGATGAAAGATTCTGAAATAATGAATATCGATAATTCGAAATATCTCTCTCTTTCTACATTACAGAAAGAGAAAGTGTTGAGTCATTTACGATTGGTTAGTTTTCAATCATCAGTTAATAAATACCACATTTATTTCTTCAATCCAGTTGGCAATATTATTTCTGTATGTTTCAAATTAGTGCATCCAGATAAATCCAAGTAAGCAATGTTGTCATTTTGGAGTATTCCTGTCACAGCAAGAAATTAATGGAAGGATAAATTGAGGAAGAGGGAGAGAGGTGGGGAAAAAAAAGAAGGTAATGGAAAACAAGATTGAAAGCGATAGTTTGAAGTAGTTGGAGTGCAATTTACAAACCATTTACTTTACGACCGCTTAATCATTTCATTACTCAGATATAATTTGCAGGCAAAAGTGCCACCACTTTCACATGCAAAATTGGCACGTCTGGATGAGGTGAATCAATTCTCGAAAACCGGAAATTGTGATATTTTATCGAGTTGGATTCAATTATGTTTAAAAAATCACTGGAAAGACATCATACCAGTTGCTTTCGACTTTGTCACACAACAAGGTCGAATCAAGTATGTAAGACCGATTTACAGGTAAATCTTTTTATGCTGTTTTAAAATTATAGAAGTCATTTGTCTAGAATTTCCGCGGAATTATCACTAGAGGAAATATTTTTGTTGTTGATAATGAAAAGATGAATTGGAAAATCGAAACTGAAGATATGAGTGGTTAAAATTGTTGAAAATGAAAGAATCTAACTTCGAGGAAACTTTTAAATCCCAATTCTCCTACCCTAGATATTGTTTGCTTCACTATCATTTTAATTTTCAAATTTAATGTGGGCATCTTTAACAATAATCTCAGACTTTAAATTTCAAGTTGTTACAAACAAATACTCAGATCGCCATTCATCGGCATATTTTCATATCAGCCAACTGTGAAATTCACTTTGCTTCGTTTAATTTCTTTTTTTTTAATTTGCCTCACTTGTACTTCTACATTCAAACTTTATTTTTCACACGAGTTAATTTTTTGTTCGAAGAGCAATATTTTTTTTTGCTTTGGTTGTGGAAATTTTAGATCATTATCTTCTCTGCAGGGATCTGTTCCTTTGGTCAGAAAGTGCTGGTCGTGCAATTGAGTTATTCATGAAAAACGCACCATCGATGCATCCAATTACAGTATCAGTCGTGGGAAAATTAATCCCGAAGTGAATCTCATCTGATGGAAAAAACAAAAATATCGTAACAGTTCCTTCCATTTTTTATTTTATATCATTTTTTCATAACAGTTTTTTTTTATTTTTTGCCATAAGTGGAGTTATGGTTTTGGTTTTAATGATTTCTCTTTTCTTATTGTTGTGATTTCGAGATCTGTTAATTTGTCCTTTTGTTGGCATTTTTTCTGATTTTTGTACGGTCTTTTTTAAATAAATGGCATGCGTTTTCACTAATTTTTTCGATAAAGTAGTTGACTTAGAAATAGTCGTCCTGATTCTCCATTTTATTCTTATGCTACCATGATGTATAATTACTGTTTGGCAGATATATTCTAGACATTTAATTAACGAAACCTACTTCTTCCTTAAAGATAAAGAAGCGGTGACCAGATCGTCACGAAAACTTCTGAAAACTTTCGGATTTCAGAAATCCCATAAAATTATCAAGAATAACAACAATCAAGTATCGTAGCAGATTTTAAGCGAACATTTCAAATGTAACGAGTATTTCACAATTCTTCCCAATCACCAGGCAACTTTTCACGCTTACCAAGACCAACCAAAGCGGCCAGTGCTGCCACCTGAAATTGATCAAATCCATCAATTGGTAAAACGAGATGGTTAATTAGTGAAACGAAGAAGCAACTACCTGTTCGGCCATTTTTTTGTTTGGTTGTCCAATGCGCGATGAGAATTTTCTACTATCAACTTCAATGGTCGCCTCATATCTTTTGTCAGTCGCACGAAGCTTCTGAAATCTATCAATGTTTAGTGTTAAGAATTTGGAAAATGCAAGTGGTACAGCTTTTTAGGGTTCAGATGAAAGAAAGATTATGAATAAAAAAAAAATGCATGTGTTGTTCGCCCCAACATTTTTCTTGTTGCTGATCCCATTCATTGCTAAGCAAAATGTCCTGTCTTCTGCTCTTGGTGAAGTACTTTCTTTATTAATTCTTGCACAGAAGAAGAGAAACAAAATTTCTACAGTCCTAGAAACGTGATAAAAATTAGTATCCTCAAAGCTTAGTACCTTAAACTATACTATTCTTCAAAAGTCTATAAATGATTTGGTTAAACTTGATAATAGTAATTATAACCTACGCATTGGTAAACCGGTCGCTTGATTCCACTTTCATCACAAAAAGCATTTAAGATACATTTCGGAGTTACCGCTCCACTTCTATCTTTAAGTCGCTTACTAAACAATCACTGTGAACATTTTTAAGAAATAACAGCAAATTCTCAAAGAAATTAATAGAAGTCTCTGCCACTTATACAGTATTTATACATAAATTATCATAGATTTTGCTAGTGGATAGATGGAATGACTTGATTCGTTATGTTAGCCTTTTATAGCATTTCAACGTAAACAGGATATTGACATGATACCATGGGAAGAGATATTGCATCGCAAAACCGGACAGCAAGATGGCATCCCAATATTTAAAGATCCAAATAAAGACGGGTTCCTGGTAATGAATAAAACTGGTCAAGAATATAACTATTTCTAATAAATTGTTTGTTGCGATAATTTCACAGAAACATAATAATCCTGAAAACTTACGGTGGAAATGTGAGATCAATAAAACTTATTCCCGTTTCACTGTCCACTTCAAATCTTCGCTTTTGCGTTGCTCGCCTTCCAATATTTTTATAACACTGATACGTATCACTAATGGACCACGCTTTACAGATATCTGAAACACTTCCTGCTAAGACAGTTTCCCGCCCACGTTCATCAGTTTCCTGAAAATTATACTTTAAAAAGTTGCATTTTACGGGCATATTTACGAAATACTTCGAAGAATTCCGAGAGTTATCAAAATTACTAACTATCTATTGAGGTATGCAAACATAAAGACGGACATTACTTAACAGACCAAAGAGAACTGCAGTAAATTGATACCTGTTTAGATCCAAGAATCCTCTGTACCACATATTTTGTTGAGGTAAAGTTTTCATCATATTTGCAAGCCTAAAATATCAAAAAAATCAGATTTAATTTTCCACTAAATTTCAACTTTAAAAAAGGAACGAAAACAACAGAAGGAATTTTAAAGGAAATAAGAGAGCTCAGTCAATGACTGCGATGCTAACTATAAAACGTAACAATATATGAATAACTTTTAAATTTATCATCAGCATAATGAAAATTCGAAAATTTTAGTAAGTTATGCAAAACAAACTGCACTTCCTCACATATAAGATCTACACAAATTTCTTACTAAATGAATTATTAAATTTGACAGTATTATTCGATTTAAAGAAAATTCAAGAAAAATTAAGGGACGATTACCATTTCTAGAAATCCGCATATTTCTTCCTCGAATGATATGAAACCTTTGGGACGAAATATACTCGGGTTACTGAGAGCTTTTCTTGCTATCATCACACTACTTGCACCACTTTGTTTCCAAAACCTCATAATATCTGCATATTCTTTAATTGAACCAGAGAATCCACTAAAATACAACGTGAGAGAATTGTAAAACTTTTTTCGAAATGGAAACTAGTTAACTAGAGTTTTACAAAAAGACAGATATGGATTTAGCTATTCTAGGCTTGTCGTATGAATGACAACTTCATCACCATCTCCATCTAGCTTACTTCGCAATAACTGGCACAGAAACTACTCGAGTAACTTCATGAATTTCATTTAGACGATTCATATCACTTTGTCTTTCACTTCTACGTCGACCATGTATACCAATTGCCGAAACACCACATCTTTCGAGCATTTTCACAAATTCGAGCGTATCCTCCCGCTAGAAGCATAAGATGTATAAAATTGAACCATCTAAATCATCAGTGGATGAAACCAAAACCTTCCTTTAGACACAAAGAATGTGCCAGACTGATGAAAGTACTTTCTAACTCATGTATACCTTATCTAAGACACGCATTTTGCAAGAGACTGGAATTGTTGAAATGGAAACACATGTCTGTACTATCTGAAATTCCAAATCATATCAGAATTTTAGATGTTTATAGGTTTCATTACATTAGATGAAATAAACATATACCTTTATGCATAATATTAAATGGGCTTCAAATTAAATTTTAGTTGAAACTGATAAAAAACAAATAAATACGCCGTGCTTTTCGAATGGAAAGAAAAAAGAACTCTCCAAAATATTTCATAAAACAGCATTTCTGCTGACAATTGTACTGATAACTTCTTTTTCCCACAAGATACATGCTTACTAAATCCATATGAAGCTCAACTGAAATCAGCAACTAAATATTGCCAATTTTTCAAACATGTATCCCGCCAATAACTTTGTTAATATAATTTAAACCTCATTCAGGAAAACGTGAAAATAAGGTGACAACCTGTACCTCTTTCGCCCTTTCAGGACTTCCTAACAAAGCAGCACCCATACCCCCAGCTATGGAAAATGGTTTCGGACATCCCATGTTGATGTCAATTGCCGCTACATCGTTTTCGCTAAAAAGAAATTAAAAAATATTATTCAAATTTGAATCATAATAAATCAATTTATGAGAAAAGAGTTGGAAAAGAGATCCCACGGCTGAAAAAAATTTAAGAATAAGGAAAAAGCAGAAAATAAAAAAGAAAGATGAAATTAATAAACATACACTTTTTTAACGACATTCGCTGCTCTCTGTGCATCATTTGTTCCCTAGAATAAAATTTTGACTTTACTTCTTCCTTGTGTACAGACCATGATTCCATCTTTGGAATCTTACCCCTAAATGACAAAAAGACTTTCCCATAAGCACTAAGAATTATTGTCTCTTACAGCATATTGCACATGAAATGAATTTATGATTTTAACTAGATGCCAATTATCAAATCAAATTGTCAGATTAATTCCAGCAATGTATAGTTTGCTTTTAAGTAGTTCTTCAGAATGATTCATATGACTTACAATCTGTAAGACACATTTCTGTTTCTCAATTCGATTACATATCCTCAAAACGACGTCATCTTCATAGGTATAATCAGTTGTTCCAAGTATATCTGTAATTATTCTTTTCAAACCTTCAATTATAATGCAGTACATTCTTTTCTTTTTCTCAGCATTGCAGCTGGTTTCGAAAAAAATTCAAACCTCTAGTATGAATATTCAAAATTCTTTTTAAAGTCTACTTTCTCGAAGTTTTTTGGAATTTTTGAAACAAATTTAGAAGATAAACATTTGTTTATCTGGAATAAGTCTGATCTTACTGAAAGTAATAAAATATTTGAAAGTTTGCAATTGTTACCATTTATTGTTCGTTGAGAACCTAACAATTTCTGATCAATGATTTCCTCTGTATACACTAGATCAGCACCATACTCCAGTGCCAAAGTTCTGCAAGAAAAAGATCTGATAAGAAAAAATATTACGATAGTGAACTTTACTTTTTGCAAATATATTAAAATTTTATCACTTCTAAAACTAGAATATTACCCCTCCACTTATAAATTACTTGAAGGTTTAAACAACAATCATGATGACCATTTTCTCCAAAGCAAATGGTATGACAGAACAATTCTTGATCATTTAACCTCATCACATAATATTACCTGTGGCAATTGATTTTTTGGAAATTAACATTTCATTCTTCACTACCACCGTCAAGATATAATTGGAAATATTTTTGGGAACATCAATTTATGAAATTAGTTTATACAACTAATAAAAAATAGCTACGATTGGATAAACTTTAACTCCGAAGAGGAAAATATCACCACTGATTCAGAGACATAAAGATATGACAAACCTGAGTGGTGTTCTACCAGCTCGAACCATAGGAGCCAATATCAATTTCTTAGCATACAAACCACCATCAGCCATAACCGCGCAAAACTAGATCTTATAATTTGGCTAACATCTATGTGCACTTGTTCGGTATAAGTTTAGCATGAAATCCAAGAGTGAATCCGAGGAAGACCTATCACACGTCATAAATCTGTGAAAATCCTGGAATGTTGTCATAAACAATGGAATATTGTCATAAACATAAACAATATATACTACGACTCGGAATACCAACTACTCTTTGTTCCTAAATCCTCCTGATTGAAATTTTTAAATTTCTGTCCAGTCTTAAAAGAAATTGGGAAGAGAAAAAGGCGACAACTGTTGTGCAAACAGTGCATAAGTACCACAGTAATAATATGTAATATTTCCCAAATCAATATCAGTGGAACTCATTGATTACCTATACATACACCGAAATATTCAGTAGTAGAATTCTTCTAATATGAAAATTGGAATTCGATAAGACATTTTAAAATACGCATAATTGCGTTATTCGCTATTGCGGTATAAAACAATCATGTAAAACAATCAAGAATATTTCGCTAAAAAATTTTTATTCACACGATTTATGTATCCATATAGAAAAAGCTTTTTGTTCATTTCCATTTGAAGCGATGACAAACTTAAAAATGGAAAAAAAGAAACAGAGACTGCAGGAAAACCTCCAAAATTGTCAGAATTCAAAAATGAAGCCAAATTTGAAATTGAAACCGAAAAAGCGATCAAATATATGACTAATGCAGAATATATTCAAATATATGCATGTATATTACATATACACTCTTAGGAAAAAATGTTACAAAAGGAAAAAAGAGTACCATAATCTTCGAAAAGAAAGAACGAACTGAAAAAAAAAAGACAGAAATGCGTTTAAGAAATGAATTACATGTGAACTTTGCAATTTGACCAGAGAGAAGAAGAATGAAGCCAAAAATTCTCTAACCCGGAAAATTCGGAAAACTTTTCCTGAAATTGAATTTTTCTAGGCAATGAATTAAATCTGCATATTCCGGGAAGGATAATAACATAATCTTGTATGCCAAATATCGGTAACTAAAAGAAAATAGCACATGATAGAACATAAGCAATGCGGTTTAGAAAAAAAAAAAAAAAGGCATCGGATGCAAATAACTGCTAGATCTGCACGAAAAATGAATATTAAGAATAGCTACATGGGATAGGAGAGCCATTTACAGTTTGAATAACTTTGTTTGTTTTTAAGTCATTTGCAGTTCAAATTAAAACTTGAAAAATAGAGAAGTTGAAATTAATTCTTACCCAAAAAAAGTCAGGAATATATTTACAAAGCAACAAAATTTCTTCGAAAATAATTGAAAATTCAAATGAATGTCTAGTGAAACATTATTTATAGTACTATCGCTACTACTAATGCCGAAAATAGTAGTCTAGGACCAGAAAAAAAAGGGATAAGATGCATATAAGTTGACAAGATGCGTACAAGTTAAAGGGCTAATATCAAAACATCGCAAAAAAAAAAAAAAAAGTTAGCGATGATAGAGTGAACATCGTATGCTTAGAGCAATTCTAAGTTTTAAAACCAAGGAACGTTATTTCCGAAAAGATGACTAAAATTACTGAAAATAAAAATGAAAAATTACTTTTCAAAGAAAACGCTTAGAGATGTCACACATTAAACGTCAGTCTATTTAATCTATTCGTTGCTTTACCATAGTCCGGAGTTCATCTCAGTAAAGCTTGAGGAGAATTAATGCTTGAAAGTTCTAGAAAGGTACCTTAACTAAGCTTTGTGCCATAAATGCATTGCAATGAGTGTTTGAAAGATTTCGCTGAAGAATGAAATGAGTAAAAGTTTAGATTTCACTAAATTTTTGATTAAAAAATTTAAGTCTTTCCACCGGTAAAGGATTTGGCCAGGTGGTACAAAATCGCGCATTTGTGGACAGAGAAGCAAACTAAGAGATGACGGAATGATGAAAAAATTGTACAAACCTAAAACAGATGAATTGAGAAGGAAAAATGTTTACATAGAATAAGTAAAAAGAACTAAGGGCTACACAGAATAAAAAAGTTCACGAAAATAAAAAGACAGATGAACATTGTGATACTCGTCTGAGGTCCGATACTTCAAAAGAAATGACCGTCGAGCTCTTACCGCTTACTTTAGACTGCAGATTTAACATGACTTACTAAGAGCTTGGCTTTCATGGGATGAAAAACTTGTCTGACCATATCATCACAAGTATGATTCACTACATAATTTTTAAAATGTTTGACTGACTTCAAAGTTTAAGCTATCTTGCTCATTTTTAAAAAGAAGAAACTGAAATCCATTCCTTAGAATTTCAAGGAAATGGATTTTCTGCTGCTAATTATCTTAGTATATAACAATAATAGATAACTAAAATTTTATCGCGGCATACATTGACGGCCAAATTAAAGAATACCAAAATTCATATTAAAAAAAAAGGAAAAAACTGATAACGGGGCAAATATCAAAATTCAAGATTCTGGGCGACCAACTTATCCACATCTGCGAACACAGCAACTCCAAGTTGCATGGCCAATAAATCGCTACGAAGTTTCCGCGCAGTACGAAAATGCATTGAGAGCAACGATTCTTGCGGAAAACCCATGTGCTCTTTAAAAAAAAGAAAAAAATCGAAATTCTGTCTTTTTTTTGAAATTCCGAGTGTACAGAACGAAAATATACCATATGAAATGAGCCCTATTCGAAAGTAAAGCATAAAGCAACTAGCTTCATTGACAACCTGCACATATCATTGATTTCTCGGAAAGCCAAGGCAAAAAATGGTAAAATAACCTCGTAAGGCGCTATTTAATCCGTTAGCTGCTTGTACACGTTGCACTTGTTCAAGCAAATAGCGAAGTGATGTATCCAAAGGTTTTGTATGACATATCAAAGCTAGGATATCCTAGAAAACAAAAGCTAAACAACTAATAAAAATCATCGGGAAACATTTTGTTTTGTTCACTCTGTTCCAGCTCCTGCTGAAAGCGTTGAAAGTGAGCGGTCAAGAAATACAATGATTTCTCCTTGTCCATCTCTTCTGCTTCCATATTATAGTTATTGTTGTTCAAAAGCTATCACTGAACTTACCACCACATAATAACATTCTCCTAATTTTCTGAAGATTCTTTATTTATGCAGATGTCACTATTATTGAATTATAATCAAACGTTCCAATGCAGGTTTCATTCTCAAAAACAAAACAAAAAAAAAACCCACATGTGTCCGGCGAACCAGATCTTCCGGGGGATTTACTATTTCTTGACATAAAGAATTGATTTCTCGACCAAGTTTGAGGAGTCTTTCTATTTCTCCATAGTCCATCATATCTTTCAGATCACCACCCGTCCAACCTCGACATGAATTAAATGCTCGTTCGGCACCACCAATAACATCTTCATGTGTGTCACCACAAGATGGATCTAAATAAATCATAACAAAGTTCGAACATAACAAACTGAACAATTTGAAACTTCAAAGTTACAACAAATAACATCACTCATTTTAACAGCAAAAAAAAACATGGTAACAGCAAATGTAGTTCTGAGTTCGTGATAAACCTTGATCTTCATCAATGATAGTGGTTGCTGATGTGACTGGTTGAGATACGCCGTTCGATACAGTACCATTACTTGTTGTAGCACTTCCATTAGATGCTGGAGCAAATTTTTTACACAAAATTTGTGGGAATAATTTTCTCAAGTACCGCAATAAAGATATAAAGTCCTAGATTTTCTAAGAATATGCCAAACATCTCGTTAATTCAAAACAAGTTGAAGTCATAATTTGAATTTAACTATCAACTGCCCATTCAACTCATTCGATAACAAATCACAATTTATGCCATACTTAAGTCTTTACTGAACTTACAACAAAAGACCAAAAAAAAGCAAAACGAAAAATTGCAATTTGAATCTAACCGTGAACTGCTCCATTCGATGATGATGAGTAGACATTTGCAGCCTTATCATCAATTAATTCATCAACTGACATATTACTGAAATTTATATATGTTAATGAGCGCCACACAATGATTCTGAAAATTAGATGGTTGGGTAATAACTTAAAACAAGCAGAAATGATGATACCTTACCGAATAACAGTGCTACTCGTTTGTGCACGAGGAAATCGGCTTGAATCTGTTTGTATTCCTTCATTTCCCGTACGTGACCGACGAGTAACACATATGAAAGGCTCTAAAAATGATTTCGTATTGAAAAACTCGAAAGTACATCTTTAATAATCTCTTTTTCTTTAACACATATTATTAACTCTGTGAAACACAGCCACAGCACTCCGATAGTATGTATGAATATATATGGATATGTATAGATCTCATTTGCATATATGCATGTATTAGCTTAAGCATAAGTAAAAAATGAAACAATATTGAAAACAAACCCCATTCATCGTTGCGTCTTTTGAACGGATTAAACGTACCCAGATTTTCATTACTGGCAGTAATTGTAAATGGATGCCCCTTTCTACTATACACTTGAGCATACGAATCACCTCCTGAAAATCACTGTAATCACTTAGACATTTACATGAAGTCACATTTTGCACTGCGAATCTCTGGTCCACATTATGTCCAACGAATATTTTAAACAACAGCAAAAAAACGCTTTTGAAGTTTCCATTTCCCATGCTGCCAATTCTGTTTAGAGTCATAGACCATTGTCACACATATAAAAANAAAAAAAAAAATAGCCTTCCAGTACTCAGCAAAGTAATACCTGACTGCGCAAATAGTGCTTGGCATGTCATTATGTTAAAAAATCGCTTCTCTCCACCCTCCTATCCCATTAGCCCCAGTTTCTTTAAAATCATGAAAATATTGACTAGATCTGTCGCTGGAGAAAATACATCCATGTTAACCTGAGATTGCTGAAAGACTACTTTGTGTTGGACGAGTTTCTTCCTTTGGGGACAAATTACTAGCTGAATCACGCGAAGACACAGAAGAAATTGTAATCTGAAATTAACATTTAGTCTTATCCAATCCACTTCATGAAAGGTTCTACGAAAAGCTTTATTTTATCGACTTTTTGAAATTTTATCTTCAGAAAAAATATCACATCATTTGGTGTTGCGCTTTTCGCTAATGAACATTTTCATCACAAATTCGCTTCGGCTATATAAAACTGAATCACAA